AAGTCGTGCATTGGAAATTTAGCACAGTGTTTTTCTCTTCCTTGTTTGAAATAAAAACATTAAATAAACAAAGGCAGCAGCATAATAATTCAATGTTTGCTGCTTAAAATGTATTCAAGTCAAACTAACCATCATGAAAACTGGATGAAAATTGACTTACAAATTACTAAACAAATTACGGAAGATAAATACATATAAAACATTGAACATTTTCAGGGTGGTACAGTCAGGGGACAACCAGATTTTGCTATTGAATTTGCTCATTGTGAGCTCTCTCCAGGGTGCGGTAAATCAGTGTTTAAGCTTAGATTATATTGTAATGAGGTCGATCCAGACTGAGAGAACAAGAGGGCTCTTTGAATAATTCAATGTGAACCTTTGGGATCTTGCAAAGACAATTATGTGCCTGTCGACTGTAATTTTCCTAATTTTTTCTTTTTTTGTTCAATTTTTTAAGGCCACAGATTTATAGCAAGGGGCAGAAAATAAAAAATTGTATTTGTAAATATAGAATCAGAGCTTGTATTTTAATCAGATATAAAGTCAGAAGAGTCAATACAGATTTAACAGGGCTTTATTAAGCTTTATGAATAGATAAAGAAGATTAATCCATTATTTCAGTCAAATATGTTTGATTATTGAAGTACAGGCTTGTGATATATAATCAAATCACCATTAAACATTTTCTTAAGCAAAATAATAGTGCTTTTGTTTTACCATTTATCTTGGATATTTTATGTTGGTTTTATTCGTGTCAGCGACTCACACTGATAATGTCTTGAGTGTTTTTAATGCTTCAGTGTTTAGCAACAAACGCCTACCAACATTCATGGGCTGAAATACTTTGAATTAATTTGATTCAGACAAAGAGATAAAACAAAACAGACAGGGACTGGTTTTTAATTTAAATGAAAAGCTGAAACAAATATACTGTAAAAATGCAAATTAGAAAAACTGCATATTAATTTATTTTACTCACTGCCAAAGGTTTGGCTAGTCAATTGATTTGTTATTTAGGAGATCATACATAGAAAAGAACTACTGACTCTTTGCCAAGCAATTGGGCAAGATCTTGGTTAAAACTCAATGTTTACACTCTCATGTGAAAATGTCTGCAAACAGATTCACAATTATACAACCGTACATTTTTGAAAAGCAGAAGTGGAGCCTCCTGCACAACCAAAAAGAGAATGCAGCAAGTGGTTTCTGGATGGCAAATCAACAACAAACCAGTTGTCCATTTCCAGCAGCCATCTACGGTGGTAAAACCAGCCAATCAAATGTGCTGGAACTCCACTTGGGTTGCTAGGTAACGGGTGGAACTCTGCTGGGGTTGCTAGGCAACCGCACAGTTCCCTTCAAATGCGACTTAACATTCGGGAGGTTTTTGAAACAGCTCGTTTACAAATGACAAACATGATTCCATAAAAATGAAATATTATGCGAAATATAAACTTGTGTTAAGAAATATGGTCATTCTTTCTCCTTTTTTGTATCTTGTCTAATATATTCATTTTGAAAGCAAAACCTTCAAAAATCCAGTTGATTTACATTTATTGGTGCAAACATCCACAGTTTGTTTCTTTTCTTCTAGCAGCCAGCAAAGCTACAATTACGTTGCTGTCACAAGCTGCCTCTGCACATAATAATAATCCATTTTTCCCCCCTTTGAATTCGTTTCACACTTAACAAATCACCGGCGTGGTTTTGAAGCATGAAGTTGACGGGGCCCGTTGTTTCGTACAGCGTGACAGTTTGTTTCCTTGTCAGCTCGGCTCTCGTCAGGGGTCACAGGAAGTCGCATCTGAAGCGTATGACATGAATGAAATCTTTATTGTGCTGCTCTTTGCATAAATGTTTGAGTTTTAGACATTGTTTTGATTAGATCACAGGGAGACCAGTTGGAAAAAAAAAAAGAAGGGACTCGTCACAGGAACATGAGCCGACTCGCGGCTGAATCTAGATTTTTAACGTTGGTTACTTTTAGAATGAGAAATGTAATGTTTTGGATGCCAGTGACCTTCTATTGCAGCCCTATGGTAGCATCAAGGAACCGGGTATACTAATACACTTGATTAATTGAAGATTGGATCCAAAGGTAGGAGAAACAGAAGAAAGCTTGAGTTGTTAAATGTCATTTCTGTTAATATTTACCATTGTCGGAGAATAAAGTTCCAGCATTACCTACTTACGAATTTCTAATGTTTTTTGTAGAATTACGACGATAAAGTCGTAATTTTGTGACTATAAAGTCGTAATTTTAGGACTTTATTCTCACATGACTTTATTCTTGTAATTTTTCTATTTTATTTATGTATTATTTTTATTTTTAAAATATTATAACTATTTACATATAATTTTGACTTTATTCTCATATTGCTTTCACTTTATTCTCAAAATATTATGACTTTATTCTAGTGCGACTTTATCCTCACATTGTCCGGCTATTTTTGTGTTATTTTGACTTTATTCTTTCATTACTTTATTTTGATACTATAACCACTTTATTCTCATAATAATTTATTCTCGTATTATTTCAACAGTATTTTCTTATTTCAACTTTATTCTCGTACAAGCCTCGTATTATTTCGACTTCTTGTATGACTTCATTCATGTACGAGGTTACTCTCGTAATATTCTCTTTCTATTTCAACGTTTTTGGATTCATTGTCATATGACATAATTTGCGTAATTTTATGCCTTTATTCTTATCATTTTGTTCTTTATTTTTTTATTTTTTAGTGGTGTGGCTCTATCCGCCGTCGTAGACTGGCACCAGATTAACATGGCTGTTATTAATGTGACCACTAGGGGGCAGTCATTGCACATACCACAGAAGATGGTCTGTGATGATTTGGTGAAACCTGTATGTTGCTTCTAGGGTGAATTACTGTGCATTATTTGGCCTGTTGTGCATTAGTAGAGGGAGAAACATTGCTTTACTTTAAAAAAAACAACCTTCCATATTTTATAACGATGAATCCCTGCAGGCCCCAGTGTTGCAGATTAAAAAATAAATTGTTTGACCTGTTTCATATGCACTTTTACATCTTTTTAAATAATCAATTTCATCCTCTGTGTGTTTTTATATGTATCTGCTATCTGTTTGGAGGGGAAAAAAAGTGTTTTATATTGAAATGATTTCCATGATGTAATGCGAGGTGACAGAGTGTGGGCAGTTTGGACTTGGTATGGCTCTCAGGTAGATTTCCATGCAGGAAAAGAAACCCAGCAGTCATCAATCACTCTCAGTCAGGCTGGAGAGACTGGCATATCTATCCTCATTCGAGCTGTCTGTACCAATCAGGGAGCCAAATTACACCCAGGACCTAATGTGTTTATCAAGGATTATTAGGGGATTTTTCTCCACCTTAAATCTTCTTAAGTGTTAAACTTTTTTCTTTACCGTTTTTAGATTACATCGTGAACGTAGTATGTCGATTATTGGTTATTTTTCAGTTTATTTTTTCCATGTCAGTTCTTCATTCCTGTCTGAGATCGCTTGTAAGGGATCTATAAATTTGCCTGTCAGTTTTGCCACTGAGGATTACAAATAAATGTAGGGAACTCCAGAAGTGCTAACAATTTTAATAGTGGTGTTGGTGCGAGTATTCCCAGCTGCTAAAGAAATAACCAAATAGATCTTAAACTTTACCTGTCAACTATATTCTGTGCACTAGAGCAATACACTAAAGTAAAGCACACAAGAATAAAAATTACTTTACATTTAAAGTGCAGCTTTATTTATTGTCTGCACTACATTTTTAACAGCTACACTGCAAAAACCTCAAAATCTAACCAAGTATTTTTGGACTAGATTTTGATGCAAATATCTTAGTACATTTGAAATAAGACAAAATTAACTTACAAGCAACTTTTTAGTAAAACATAGGAGGTTGTTATAAGTCAACAATTTCTTAATGTTGATAAGAAAATATACTAGTTCTACTGACAGATTATTTAATTTATACAGAATATGTCTTGATCTAAGTAAAATCTGTTTTTTATTATCAATATAAGGCAATTGTCACAATAAGATCTACTTTTGCTAAAAACTATGCACGCTAACATCTAATCATACTAACAGATACCAAGCTAACAGATCTTGTTAAAAGTGAAATTCTGTTTTTTTTATGTTTTTTACACTTCATTACTTTGACCTAGGGATACATTTTCTTTGTTTTAATTGTCTGAACCAAATTACATTAGTGTTAATCCGTAGTGATACAAATTGCCATTGGTAGTTAAACAATAATAATTCAAGCTAATAGTTATGCTAACAGCTATTGACAACAATATGTGTTTAACAGAAAATATCAGCTTATTAAAATGTTTTTTATCATTATCACTTTAGTAGTAGACATGAATTTGCTTTACGTCAATGTGTAGAGACAAACACCATTGGTAGGTAACCTACCAATGATTCAGGCTAACAGCTAATGACAACAGAGCTTGTTTAACAGTGAATTTGAGCTTTTTAAAAATGTTTTTACACCTCACCACTTTTGCATTAGATATAAATTTGCTTTGCTGCTTTTGTCTGAACCAAACTACATTTGTGTAAATCTGGAGTGACGTGAATTATCATAGTTAAGCTATTGATGATTTGAGCTAATAGCTACTCATGCTAGCAGATAAAAAAGCTAAAGTCTATTGACAACAAGAGAGCTTTTCATCACTTTCCACTAGACATGAATTTGCTTTAATTGTCTTAACCAAATTACATTTGTGTTGATCTGCAGGGTAGATAAGGCAGCTCTGGTACATATTTTTAGGAATAGCATCATGGCTGCCTACTACAGAGAAGATACTGACTTCTGAAATTAAGAGAATACATTATACTGAAAAGATTCTTTAATATATTTTTGGTTTGAAGGTACTCTATGCGCTCACTTGTCCCCAACTCCATCCTGCAGACTAATATAAAATAAATTCTTAATCGTCAGTGCCTGACCTGTGGGTCTTTGCTTTCTGATGAGCCTTAATTATCATCACCACAGATTTCCAACTGTGGACACCAAGAGGTCAGCAGAGACGGATGCCGCGCATCTCAATAATTCAGCAATTAAGGTAAGAAAAGTAAGTCGTTTTTAAAGCTGGAGATGTAAAATTGTTGTATTTATTCTACCAACTGCAAAGCAGTACAGCAAAAGAAGATTTTCTTAGGTTTTAATTAAACAGAATATGAACACAATGACAGTGTAGATATATAACATCACAGTGACTCTGCTCGGTAAATGTATTGTTTGTGAGCCTTGCTGTCATATCCATGTGAAGTATGCATGTAATAAATACCCCATTGTTTGGTTGGCGCCATGAAAAGGTCACGCTTTGGGGATTTCAGCAGTGCCTAAAAATAAAGCATCTCATCAAGGTGTATGCATAATTAATGATTGGTCATTTTACATAAGGAGGCAGATTTTTCCCTCTCATTGCCCTAGTCAATCATCCAGTGTCAGAAAAGAATGTTTTAATTCACATGCTTTAGCTCATACTCATCAATTTGAGGGTCTTAATGTTTAATCTTCAATATTTGTCGGAAGGTGTTGATCAGGTGTTTAATCTTTTTGGATAATATAATACAGAAAGTTTTTCAAAATTGCAACCAGTAATGACTTCAAAAACTAAAAAACTATTTTTTATTTTATTTTAATTTTTTTTTTAGGAATAATTAAACTTAGGATGCATATAATACAATAGGGAACTCTTTGAATGTTCTAAGGCAAATTATCCGCCACAAATTAATTAAACATGTCAGCCCTTTTAAAATCTAAATTTAATCGACTCATTAGAAAGTAAATTGCATAAATTAATGATCTGAAGAGTTCACAGCCTGTAATAAAGAATAAATTCTGAGCTAGCATCATGTTTTTGTGCTCTGGTTTACATTTTTTTTATGTCAACCTCTATTTTTCAAGGAAATCTGGGATTTTTTTCCTCTCCTCCCCCCTGATTCCTGATTTGTTTTAGCGCTTGTCCTCCTTGGTTTTTATCCAATTAGTTTCCCCTCGGCCCTTGACACACTTGGCCTTTGCTTGCTGATTACCATTCAGCTCTTGTTCATTTGTCATTATTTCCTCCTGGTTTCATGCACACAGACAATGGTGTTTTTGACAAACAACTTCAGTTTTTGACACCTCAAAGTGTTTTAAAGGGGACTTATTATGGAAAAATTTACTTTATGCATATTTTCGCACCTACTTTTGAGTTTCTACTGCTTCTAAAAAATATAGAATAAAAGTTTTCTTGGCAATAAATTGATCTTCTTTGGTGTGTGAGAAATTAGCCATTTCAAAAACCCTCAGAATATAACCTCACAAATTAGAGGGCACTGTGCCGTTACCTAGCAACCCCAGCAGAGTTCCGCCCATCACCTAGCAACTGAACAGGAGCTCTAGCAGGTGTAAAGCGCTTTGGGGTCTTCTGGACTTAAGTGCTATGCAAGTACAACCCATTTACCAAGAACCTGAATATTTAGGTCAAAGATAAATATTTAGTTTAAAGCTAAAACATTTCTTAAGCTCATTATTTTACATGCTAGCTAAATATTTGTTTTAAAGTTAAATATTAAGTTCAGTAACTAAATATTTAACTCCAAACTGAATATTTGGTTAGCAAACTGAAGGTGTTCAACATTTAGTTAGTAAACTAAACATTTAGCTTACTAATTATTTAGTTAGCAAAAGAATTGTTAGCATGCTAAATATTTAACTTGCTAGCTAAATATTTGTTTTGAAGCTAAATAATTAGTTCACCAGCTAAATATTGGTGAACTAAGCTAAATATTTAGTTCATCATAAATATTTAGCTCCAAACTAAACATTTAACCTGCAAGCTAAGCATTTAGTTAGTAAGCTGAACATTTAGCTTATTAATTATTTATTTAGGAAGCTAATTTTTAAAGCTACAAATTTTGTTAGCAAGCTCATTTTTTAACATGGTAGCTAAATATTTATCTTTAAGCTAAAAAGTTAGTGTGTGAAATTATCTGCCAGTAGAACTTGTATCTTTTCATCAATATTGAGGAATTATTTACTTAAAATAAGCTTCTGTATCTTGTTGAAAAGTTACGTGTAAGTTAGTTTAGTCTTTTTTTTAACCGTACCACAATACAAACTTATCTCATTAGCCAGACAGGACTGTGTTGACCTGTCTTTGCTTCTATCAAAATATCAATCACTCCGAACCACATTACAGCTTCCAAAGATGTCAATGTTTCTTTCCCAATTTGAGCTTCATTTCCCTCATTAGAGCAGCACATATTTCACCCTGTCATTTGTTTTGAACCGGTATTGAGCATGTATGATTAAAAGAGAAGAGATTGATTTTCTTACAGACAGCCTCTTAATGAAACCCAGCAGAATAATTGACCCTGAACTTTTAGTGCCGCTGCATCTTCCCCTCATGTATCCTGAGCGGTAAAGATGCTCAATATTCAAATAAACACAACCGCGGCACTGCAAGGAGGAAATCGAAGGCCGGACACTTTAAAATACATTCAGATAATACACTACTTGCTGAAATGATTGGTCGCATGGAGGGAAGCCATTACGTGGCCACCATTAACAGTGCATCATGCAGAAATAAGCTGATCAGCACTTTACGATGGAACTGGCATTTGTAAAGAGGATGGATGGCCTTCTGTGTTCATTATCATCAGTATGTCTCCAGTTACGCAAATCAATTGCACATTAAAGCACAATGAAGCCAAAATGTGTCTGGAAGGTTTTGTTTTGACAGCTTAGATAGCGTAATATACAAATATATATTACAGATACAAATAATGTAATATAGCATTCTCTCTATGCAGATGAAAAGTAGCTCTTTTGTTTGTTTTGCTTCTACTCCTTTTACAGCCATGTTTCATTGTTATATAACATTACAAGTAATTATGCTTAATTTTCATTCCCTTTCACTTTCTTGACATATTAAACGTTTTGTGGTTTTATTGTTTTGGCAAATGAAAGTGCTGACAGCTGAATTTGCACCTGGAAGACAATATTTCCAGGGATAAATAGATTTATTATTGTTATTACTATTATTAACCTTTATTTAACCAGGTAAGAAAACCCATTAAGACCAAAGTCTCTCTTTTACAGGGGAAACCTGCCAAAGAGGTCAGAGGCACAAACTTCAGAAACAGGAGTTAGTTAAAGGAGTCGTTTGACATTTAAAGAACAAATGACTACAAAAGCAGTTCAATTGAAGACAAAATAGTGTAAAATAGGCAAGTTTTCATTGCAAAATATATCTCCAAGTGTGTTTTCCTGCCTAAGTGCCCAGTAGACTGAGTTTGATTGGGGAACAATTGGAACATTTGTTACATTTTCAGGTGCTGATTAAATGAACCAAACTATTTGAAAAACCTGTTCCCCTCCTCGCCTGTGGGGGCGCTGCACCAAGAACTATTGAAGGAAACAACACTAAAACCTCTGAAGTAGATGTGAACGCCACTTACTTCTTCATTTTCAATTTGTAAAATTGAATGGAAAAAAACTATTATTCCAATCTAAATTTTTCCATTAACAATGATTTCAAAAACTTATTGAAAACTTTGCAACAATATGCATTGAAGTAAATTATAGTAATGATATATAAAAGTTAGAATTCCTAAATTTAAGCTGTTTTATGTATTTCACAACCTCTAAAAACAAAGTAGATGAAGGTAAATGAACGAAAATAGCACAAATAAACATGAGTATTTTTTGCTATCGGATAGAAACCATACCCAGTTACAGAGCGGACTGTAATATGATAAAATACCTTTTGTATGAGTTTCCTTTAACATAAACTGATGTTTGTTCTCCAGCAAACAATTTAGTCTCTCAGTTGATAACAATTCACCCAGCAGACATTTGGACAATGATTCCTGCAATCTTACTCATCATCTACACAGGACTGCCTCAATTTTACCTTTATGACTCCAACAATAAAGGTCCCAACAGATGATGGATGGAAACAACTGGAGAATAACATACACTTTGTTAAATGTTTATTCAGAGGCAGAATAAACAGATTCATATTAAATTGTTCATGCTTTGGCAAATCGTTTTTAAAAGCAGAAAACAAATCTTAGATGAATTAAATTAGTTGTAAACTATCTTAGCTGACATTCAAACTAAACTCAGCTGAACAGTTCATGAAAATACAATAGGTAAATATAATTTTTAGATGTTTAATGTTATAAAAATATTTAGTTTGTTTGGAGAAAAGGCAGGTCCAGAAATCTAGAGCATGATTTCCTCATTTTTCTGTCTTTTTGTCTTCCAAGCTATATTTCCTGGTCCTCCCCTGCCGTTCCCTCACAACTGAATCCGACTGCGAGTCATAGATCACTCGAGACGCCCCAATCATTTATATGCAAATTGGATGCCATCTATTAGCCTTTTACAGAATCAGTTTAGATTATGGGAGAAAACAGAGAAATGTCTGTATCTGATTCCTCTTTCCTGGCCACAAAACCCCATTTTCCCCCCACATGCATTAAACTGTCATATAAAAACACGACAACGCTTTCACCACACTATACTTTCTTTATTAGTGGACTGATTATTGAGAAATATAATTTCCTTTTATAATGATTAATGGTTGAAGAAGAAAAGAAAAGAAAATGCATAATCTGTATTGAATATGTTTTATTCCTTAGAGAGAATGAATGATGTGTTTTTTGTGTTAACCTGTTAGCTAGCATAGCTAGTACCTCACGGGTTAGCTGGCTTGCTGCTAATGCTTGTTGGTTAACATTTCAATGTTAATTTCCAATTATAGTTACCAACTATATCTTAAAATACAACATTTTAAACTTAAAAGGGGATTAAATTTGAATCCATGTAAAAAAAAAAAAAACTTAATTTGAAGATGCACATAAACATAACTGTTTAAATTTTTACTAGTACTCGGTTTTATAATTGGCTAGCTTTAGCGTATTGCCATTTATTTTCTTTCTTGAAAGTTGAAATTAATTATGTTTTGGATAGCTTAACTTGCTCTTTGGATCCATTGTGGGTTTTTTTTTTTGTCTAACTCTGGTAGTCCTTATGAAAGAATGATTTATGTAGAAATGTTCTGTTAGTTTTATTACGCTTACTATTTTTAGGTCTCTTAATAAACCAGAAAAACACTTCCACAAGATGACAACGCCAGCTGACTTTATAATTAAAAATAACATCACATTGTTTTATGCTAGATGATTCATTGTATGCTACATGATTGACAAATATTTTGTATAGAAAAAGATACATTAGCAAAAAAGTTTAGCAAATAAACATAATCCATCCTGGTGTATAAATAGCTTCCATCTTTGTATTTGAATGACACAGTGTATGGTAATTGTTTTTTGCAAAACAACAACATCTTTGCCTCTTTTTTTTTTATTTTTATTTTTTTACCAGTAATGGCTACTTTGGATGTTGGCATCATAAAGAGAGAGAGAGAGTAATGGGTTGGGGGGGTGTGGAAGCTGTATCTCTGCTAATTAAATGACAGCGAGCAGGCAGATGAGGGAACCGGTTTAATTTTTCAAAGGTGACATGCAACCAGGAACATTATGTGCCAGCTATCAATATGAATAACAGGTAGAGAGGCATCAGCTGGCAGGCTTTCTAATGAAGGACTGCAACACTGTAATGTTGTCTCCATCTGTTGTCAAATGTCACTGCATTCACCCTGTGGCTCTTTTTCCTTATCCTGATGTTTGCCTTCGTCTGTGTCAGAACTCGGCTATATAGGCTGTCAAATTACAGATTCAGGTACCAAGAAAATACGCTAAGTTCCCACTCATAATTAGGACGGAGTCTTGGGGCTAAGAAAATAAAATTAGTTCAATTATGGGAATAAAGTGGTAGTATTACAACAACAAAGTCATATTACTACTTTATTCACATAATATTATGACTTTTTGAAATATTTAGACTTTATACTCATATTATGACTTTAATCTTGTGTTATTTTGATATATTTCTTGTAATCATAATATTATGATTTTATTTTTGTGCTAGTTTATTCTCGTAGTTTTATTTTTTATTATTTATTTTTCTGTTTTTATGGCATAAACTTTTGAAAGTTAAATTATGTAACATATTAACTGACTTGAAACAAAGATAGTTGATTCTTACTCGCTTTGTTTAATTTGAAGTGCATCAAGTTTTCAAGCAGAGTTTTGAAAAATGACTGAAGACGATAAGATGTTCCTACAGTTTTCATGATTTTATGTTAAAAGGGCTTTCCATAGAACGCAGAATATGTGTTAAACCGTCGACCAATCACGTCACTTCCTGGACGTCTGGAGTTCTGGATTTTTCCACGGTAAAAAAAAAAAAAGGTCAACTCAACCTACCGCCATTTCAGGACATCCGTGCAGCTAGAAATAAAACAGGTAAAATTGTATTTGATAAACTGTTAATAAAGCATAAATGGAATTTATTAATGCGGATATTTATTTATGCCATTTAGTTTTTAAATCGGACTGTAGTGTCTCAAGTGGTGCCTTGACCTTAGTGAGTTAGCTTAGCATACACCGAGATTCTTTGGGTATAAATGTATTTCGAGACTTAAAATGTTGTTAAAGTTATTTTTACACTATAAAGAAGCACAATTATTGTGTTAAATAACTATTATTGAATTATTTGCACTGTTAAAGTGTGCCGTCCTTATAGAGACACCTCATTGTGTTGGGTTTGGACTCGGGTTTGTGTTGATATTAACACATCTGTTTTAAGAGCCCCTTAATTACTGAATTTAATGTTTCATTTATTCTGATTACATAGCGTTTCTGTCATACCAGTTTAATATAAATGCACTGGCACAGTTGAGATTATTATTTGAAGTTTGAGTTCAACAACACAAAAGCAGCAGTGTATTCAGAAAAATAATTGGCTTTAACGCAAGAACCAACCAAACAAGTAAATGCATAAAAAAAGAATTAACTTCAAAAGCATCCAAGCATAAAGATAATCCCAGCTGGTGTTGTTTTATTTCAGATTAAAGCGTGTATATTTGCTTTATATATCAAGTAAGAGGACATTGCAGAGCTGCATTAAAGATGCAAGTCAGAGAAGTAATAAGGAAGATAGTCAGTGCTCCAAATCCATGTAAAATATATGCAATTAGACCACTTCATTTACATTACTTTGCATACATGTCTCATTACAACATCCGTATGTTGAATCTGTGCTTTATAGATTGTTTTGTGTGTCTAATCAGACTTGGAGAGGACTGACTATTAAGTATCTGAAGACATTCCAGTCATCAGGGTAAATAGAGTCCCATGATAAATTTTTGATTTAAACTTATTAAAAATGCATAGACGCTTGATAAGTATATCACTGCACTGTCCTAATGAAACAATAGAGAGTGAAGATGGCTAACATCAATCTTTGGAGAAGAAATGTCCTTCTTTACAGCAACACTAAGTATTTCAGCTCAGTTAGAGTCAAATTGTCCCGGTTGAGAAACGGTGAGTCGAGGCCAAAATGTTTTGTTGCGTTTCATGCAAAAATCTGCCTAACAGAAATAAAAATAGCAAAGTTTGTTGTAAATATGTTTTTGGTTGTTTACTGTAATATTGACCAGTTTCACGTTATGTCAAAACGATGACACGTTCTCTCCTGAATAGCACCTCAAAATGACAGTTGACAGTCCAATATTGCTTTTCATTTGTTGATTTTCCTGTAAAAATGTTCATAAGTTGCTGCAAGGTTGGCTGCACAGGCAAGGCTGCAAATCAAACATGTTATTTTATTGTAAACCTTTTGATGAGGAACGAAAAGGCAGATTATTTTACTAATGCCTTGTAATAATTGAAATAATCTCCCAGTGAAACTATAATTTTTTAAATCATTATTTATTGTTGACTTAAAACAATCTGCTATTTTTTGCTGAAAAGTTAATGTAAGTTAGTTTTGTTTTTTACAAATGACCAGAGATATTTGCACTAGAAAGAGGACAAAAATATTTGGTATGATTTTGTGTTTTTTCAGTGTGGATGCAAGCTGATCGGAGTCTGCTCCAAAACCAGGAAGTGGACTACAATACACGGCATTCTGGGTAAGTACGACCAAAACAAACGCAAGCGTCTCATGCTAGCGGCAGAAATGTCTCGTGGTCTGTTACCAAAAACAACAGAGAAATCTTCCAACCGCTAATATATCATGCTACTTTGTCTTTCTGAAAAAGGAAGTTGTGCTCAGTGTCTTCAGAGGTTTTTGTAGTTTCCTTCGGTGGCTCTTGGTGCAGCACCCCCACAGGAGAGGAGGGGAACAGGTTCTCCATAGGATTTGGGCCGTTTGACACAGTGCAATGTGAAAGAGAATCGAAGGAGCTGAAAATGTAACAAATGTTGCAATTTTGTTCCCAAATTGAATGGAGTCTACCAGACTATGAGGTGGGGAAAACCCTATGGCTGCATTCTCATCAGCCCTGTTTAGTCCACTTTAATAAAGCTCCTGTTCGCTTGCTTAGAAAGTCCAGTTTGTTTGAGCAATCGAACTCTGATCTGATCCACCCTAAGAGTGACGTTTTTGTCATGAGGTGTGGTTGGTGGTGGTGAGGATGAG